GGTATTGATGGAATTTGAGTAATATGAATCTGATTAATCTGTCTTTGTAGTTCATGCATCTTCTTCTTCCTTTGTAACCTCCTTTTTTGAGTCCTTGTTACATTGCCCCCTGGACCTTGAACTTCTCCTGATTCAAACTACTCATCTTCAGGCGGATTGCTTGGTATTTTCAAAGTTCTAGTTCGATGAGGCGTTACAGTCGTCTTGGTCTCTCTTTTAGGTGGATCATCGAATTCCTCACCCCATCCAGTTGCAACCACTTCTTCCGAATATATAGGAGGTGGACCATAGTCAACATAGTAGTCGAATTTACCACTAGGCTCTCCTAATGTTCCAATTCTAGGGTCGCCTTCTTCATAACGTTGCTTGAAAGACTTCCATTTTGCTGAGTGTTGTCTCGAACTATCGATATCCTGAGCATTTTGCTCCTGATTCGGACGTTCATTCCTGTCTTGACCATTTCGGGATCGACTCCGATATAGTCTTTTTGTTATAATTTTGATATCCAAATTGATCCCAAAAAGGTTTCTCTTGTGAAACATCCTGTTTCGAAAGATGCTCTTTTCGTCGATCATAATTGATTTCTTTTTTACACCGAGCACATAGGTGTGGCTGCATCATTCTTCCTTTAGGTTTTAATGATACCATTCCGGTCATCACGGGGAATGGATCAACATCCACCTCCATAGGAGCCTTTTCTTTGTCATCTGCGAATTTGATTTTGCCTTGTCGAATTGCTTCTTGAATGTTCTTTCTTAACACAATACAATCAACTGTATTGTGGCTCCATGAGTGATGCCACTTACAGTATTTCTTTCCTCTCATATCTTCTGGGCTTGGTATAACTTGGCCTTCAGTAAGCTTGATTTGCCCATCAGTCAAAAGAAAATCAAATATTTCATCGACCTTATTTATGTCAAAGGAATAATACTGGACGTCCTTTGATTTGACCATGACAGTCCCCTTTTCTTTCATTTTAGCTGGCTTCAAAGCAGGGCAAGTGTATGGCTTTTCTATTATCATCTTGGCAACTGCCACTTCAGCATACTCTGATTCATTTTCATCGACCAGTGTTTCATCGACAAAGTTTACTTCATGTCTAGCATGCTTTCGATCTTTTTCTTTCAAAAAGTTTACATGCTTCACAGCAATGGTAGTCAATAAAAATAAATCATAATAAGCTTGTCCTACCATTCTTTCCCTAATGGCAAACTTTAGACCGTTAAAGGCAAATTCAGCAAACGTTCTCTCAGGCAATGGTACGAGACATCTATTCCTTGCCTTTCTAAATCGAAACATGAACTGATCAACTGACTCATTATTATATTGTCTCATTTCTGATAAATCTGCCACAGACATGTCTGGCACTGCCCTTTGAAATTGACTATGAAACATCATTTCTATTTGATCCCAAAAGGTTACAGAATGAGGCGGTAGAGATGTGTACCAGGTAAAAGCGGTTTTGGACAATGATAACGGAAACAAGCGCAACTTCCAATGATCTCCATATGTAGCATCTCCACATAAAGCAGTGAATCGATTGATATGTTCCTGTGTTGACTGCTCGTCTTCGCCAGTAAACAGGCTAAATTTCAGCATCTTAAACCCCCTTGGGTACGGAACGGTATCCATCCATTCTGGGTAGGGCTTCCTGTACACTTGCCTAAAAACTCCTGGTTCACCACCGTATTGCCGTAACATTGGATCCACTATGTGATGGTTTTGTCCTATTGGGATTACAACTGGTGGTGCATTTTGTTGCAGAAGTTGATGCATCTGATATTGGGGTATTGGCGCTTGTGGTATTGGTTGTAGTAATGGATATTGTGCTACTGGCTGTGGATGCTGTGGAGTTGGATTTTGTAGTGGTGACTGTGGATATTGTGGAATTGTGTTTTGCAACGGTGGTTGTGGATATTGTGGAATTGTGTTTTGCAACGGTGGTTGTGGATATTGTGGAATTGTGTTTTGTGGTAAGGGCTGTAATGGTTGTGGCACTTGATAATGTGGCATTGGCTGCGGCGTTGTTACATTCCTCCCTGGACTATCCGTATTAACATTTGACCTGAATAACCCTTGAGGAACGCTTGGTTGAGCAACAAAACCACTGGTCAACACATTGTCGTGTAATTGATACGGAGCAATATGCTGAGGAACCATATTTGCAGTAGTCACATTTGTCTGAACTGAACCAGACGAATTTGCTCCATTGGCTACTAGTTGAACCGTATTGATATTCTCGTTTCGATGTGTTGAATTAACCGCATTACCTTCAATTGTTGATAACTGGGCGTGTGTTTGATTTGCCAACGCATTTTCTCCTCTCTGAAGAATTCTTACTGGTGCAAGAGGCATAATTTGCCCTGCTGTTGCACTGCCAGAGTTTGTGATTATTGTTTGTCCAAGACTTCCGACTGCACCTGGAGGTACGACTGGGACAGTCTGTGGTTGAGAAGAATTAATCGATGAACTCGGCCTTCCAGTGATTTCTTGAATCGTATTGATAAACAATGGCCTAACAGTATCAGCCACGCTTCTAGTGACTAAATTAGCCAGATCATTATGTTGTTCTTCCATGATTCTTCTCATAGTAGCAAGTGTAACTGGATTTGGTTCTAATTGCCTTCTTTGCTCTTCTATAAGGTGTCTGGGAAAGTCTATCTCCCCTATCTGACCTTGCACTGTAATTGTTCGCCCGTTTGATGATTCTGTACGTGTCGCTCGTTCTACAGCAGGATTCGGGGGTGCACTGCTCCCTGGAACATTGTTATTCTGGTCCAATTGGGTCTGACTTCTCGTTCGTGCCATTGTTACTCCTCCAATTGATCTAAGAGGTCCCACCGAGCGTGCCAAAATTATGTTTCATCGTAAATGTCCTCACGACGAAATATAATTCACCGAAAGTAGTTCTTCGGCTCTTAATAAAAGGAGACTGAGTTCTAGATCTAATTCCGGACATGAGCAATCTAGGCGTGAATAAGGAACTTGATTTATATAGAAAATCTAGACGAATCCATCCAATTGCTGGTGGCGTCCGAAGTTACAAAGACCTGAGCAACTATAGCTAAGGAAACTGAAAGTACGAAACTGGAGAGTAAAGACTATAACTATAGAAGCTGAAAGTGCGAAACTTGGAAATAAAGATAAAAGACAACATTTGTTTTGTTCATGTGTGCCGAGCTGTTTTCTGTTGGTAATCAGATGCTATTTATAGCGCAGACTTGTAATCGTTCTTGGTGTTGTATCCAATTTCTACCGTTGATTTCATCTTTACCGTTCATGTGATGACACCTGTTTATCAACCGTTATCGATCTTATCTTTTGTACGAAGTGAAAACCGCTTTTAAGCCCATTTAGTCTCTGAAACGATAACCGTCATCGAGCCCATTGGTTCTCTGTCTGACACCTATCCCTTGGGATGATAACCATCATCGAGCCTTTTCTCCATTCGACACCTGTTTCTCGAGATGATAACCGTCATCGAACCTTTTCTCTACTTGACACCTGTCTCTCGAGATGATAATCGTCATCGAGCCTTTCCTCCGTTTGACACCTGTCTCTTGGGATGATAACCGTCATCGATCCTTTCCTCCGTTTGACACATGTCTCTTGGGATAATAACCGTCATCGAACTTTTCCTCCGTTTGACACCTGTCTCCTGAGATGATAACCGTCATCAAACTTTTCCTCCGTTTGACACATGTCTCTTGGGATGATAACTGTCATCGAACTTTTCCTCCGTTTGACACATGTCCACCGGAAATAAGGACCTTCGTTGAGCTTTTCTGACTTGACGTCCAATATCCTTTTCATCGATGAAATCGATGAAAAGCACCTTTAGCACTTGGACATTTGTCTTTTCCGGAGTAAAGACTTTCATCGAATCTTTCATAGCTTTTCTCCGTCTGACACCTGTTCAACATAAATAAGGACCTTCATCGAGCTTTTCTGCCTTGACATCCATCACCCTTTTCATCGATTTCATCGATGAGAAGCATTTGAGCACTTGGACATCTGTCTTTTTCTGGAACAAAGGCCTTTATCGAATCTTTCATGGCTTGACATTCGTTCTTCTCCTTGTCGACATCTTCGATGAAAATTCTCTCAACATTCTTAATCCCCCTCCATCTGAATTTCAAATTTCCCGCTTACGACTGTTCGTACCTGCCTGCTGCCATTTCAGTACATGCGACATCATTTCTTGTCGTTTTATTCATATATCCTCACAATGAAATCTCTAATCAATTTCAGGTGTCAACAGAGTCAAATTCAACAAGGCAATATATTGCTTCTCCGAGAAACAAAGACCAAAGTTCTTTGTTTAGCCTCTACGCCTCGCCTACGTGAGAGACAATGTCACATGTGCTTTAAACCAATCCGTCCCCCTATTTCAAATCCCCTTCTTGAGGATGACTCCTTGTGCTTTGCATGAATCTTGAGAATTAGAGAATCCACAGTCGAAAGCTGAACTCAACTTAAAAAATGCATTGTCAGTTATGGTTTCGAATACAACCGAAATGTGATGAACTCTGCTCCGAACCGTCGAGAAGTTATTGGGTACTTCCGGAGTATAGCATGGGCGGCACTCGACTAGACAATAAAAGAGTTGCGAGACAGAGACTATACAAGGCTCGACGTACCTTTTTTTTAGAGAGCACTGAAGCGTCACATCTTATGAGCAACAAATTATTTCGCCGCACGGTTCTTGAACATGAAGGGCTTGCACTTTCCCATGCGACATCACTTGCATGTTACAGCAATTGTGACTTCCTCATACAAATCGGAAAGATCTTTTGGTAATAGGATTCCCAAATGTTAAGGGGTCGAAATTGAAAATTCAAAAGGAAAGAAGGACTAGAATTGAAAAGTGAAAGGACTCCCCGGCAACGTTCCCACGTATTCCCCAACGGAGCAGTACCTTACAAGGAAGAGACAACACCGTCAATACTCCCTCCCTAACTTCACTTCATCACCGTTTTCTCTCCACTACCACCTCTTCTTTTCCGCCGTTTCTTGGCTGACCTAACGCGTTCACTTTATCTTGAAATTGTTCCAGTTTCTTTGTTTGTTTGCTAGCTTGGTTACATAACGGTGCGGCTTTTCTTGTTGCAGGTCTGATCGATTTGAGCTCATTCTGAAAGAGAGGGAGACATGTCGAAGACGCTGGTGCAGCCCGTCGGGCAGAAGAGGCTGACCAACGTGGCCGTTGTCCGGCTCAAGAAGCATGGGATGCGCTTCGAGATCGCCTGCTACAAGAACAAAGTCCTATCTTGGCACTCTGGCGTGTGAGTCTCTCTCTCTCTCTCTAACTCCTCGGACGATGCGTGCTTGTTTGCCATCTTCTTTGGAACTGTATTGAGTTTAAAATGAGCTGTACGCCGCTTGCCGTGTTAAATTTTGAATGGCCACTTCGCTGCGTAGGAGAATTATTTCTCCATGATTCTTTGTCTAGTATTTGAAATTTGAGTTATATGTATGTGAGCATCAAGAATGTTGAAGATGGTGAAAAATATAATTTCTGTGTTTTCGATTGATACTTCTTCATATTCACTTAAACTGTGGAAGACTTCCTGTTGATACTTGCTTCTATGTTTCAAACATTATATAGAAGGGAAGTATTTTGCGATGCAGATATAACTGTTACTTTTCGTGGAACAGCGAGCAGGATGTGGATGAAGTACTCCAGTCGCATACTGTGTATTCAAACGTTTCAAAAGGAGTTCTTGCCAAGTCAAAAGACCTAATGAAATCCTTTGGGACAGATGATCAGACAAAAATATGTTTGGAGGTCAGTGATATTATATTGTGGATCGTTACAAGGAGAAAATCATGTGTGTACAATTTTCTCTGGGGGTGAATTAGAATAGATGTCTGCAGTTCGCAAGTCTTGCAACTTCTGTTATTTGCATTTATTGCTCATGTAGATTTTGGATAGAGGAGAGCTTCAAGTTGCTGGAAAGGAGAGGGACATCCAATTCGCAAGTCAGTTTCGAGATATTGCCACAATTGTTATGCAGAGGACGATCAATCCTGAAACTCAACGCCCTTATACTATTAGCATGATTGAACGACTAATGCATGAAATTCACTTCGCTGTTGAGCCAAATAGCAACTCAAAGAAGCAGGTATCAAGATATTCAATTTTGATGGACTTATAATAGAAATGTTGTTAAAAAGATGGACTTGCAGAATAATGTTTTGCTTCGGTTAAACTTTTAGAATATCATGAACTTGATGTTATAAATGTCTGTTTTCATACTGTATAAGGCCTTGTCATCTTTAGAGTATCATGATATTTTACTGTTGGATTTTCTTATCTTTTCTTTTTCCTTGCTTTCTCAGTTAAATTTCTATGGTAACTAGCTTTTCCCCGTTGCACATATTTACAGAGGAATTTTTGGACATTTATTGCTTTGAACTGTGTATGCAGAAAATAGCAAGATCGGACATCTATATGCTCATATTAACACAAACGTTTAATAGTACAAAACCTAATGAAGGAATCAATCTTTTGCAGCGCTTCACATCGCTATGTTTAATAAGCTTATATCCTAAATTCTCATGCAGGCACTGGAAGTTATACGTGAACTTCAAAAGCATTTTCCAATAAAAAGAGCTCCTATGAGGCTCAGATTCATCATCACTGAACAGAATGTTTCTTCGCTCGTGGAAAAGCTCAATGCATGGAATGCTAGTATCGTTTCAAGGGATGAATCTGCAAGTGAAATATCTGTTGTAAGTCTTAGACCATTTTCTTGGAAGAGTTGCACTTACACTACATAAGTCGCACATGAAAACATTTCTGAATTCGTGAACTCTGAAATTATGTTCTTCACTTTTGCATGCATTTATTGGATTGACCCCATCACAGAATAAAGTGCATAGCTAAGAGTATCTCTAATAGGGTGATTCTTACACACCGACTTACAACGTTGGATGAGTGTTAAGACGACTTCTTTCTTGTTTGATTATCATTTTTCATTTCCTTTATCCCCCTTTTAGGAGCTTTTTTTTCTCTCATATTAGCTAAGCTCCTGCTTCTGTTAGGGTAGGCTCTTCAATTTACCAGTTTCTCTAATTTTTCTTTGGTGCTGTTCGTAGTTTTCTGCGATGAGAATTAATGACATCTTCTATGTGCATAGATGTTTGGCCGAGGACAATATGCCTCTACGTATATGTACTCCATGAGTCTGGAATTTTCTTGTCAAGTGATGAAGTTTGGACTAATATCCGAAACCCCTCTTTAATGGAAATAAATTGGATCTCTTCTATATTGTTTTCTTGCACCTAGGATGACAAGAAATACATTCTTTTTTATGCATTACAGATCTGCTCTAGATAAGTTGAGATGATGCGGTAAAAATCCTAAGCTGGTGATGCTCTGTGCAATGAGGATTAGTCTTGTGTGTTTAGGTATGATGTGCCTCTGTTTACGAGCACACGCATTTTATGCAGGTATGTGAAATTGAACCAGGATTCTACCGGGACTGTGAAGCCTCGGCAAGAAACTTGCAGGGGAGAGTGGAAGTTCTTGCATATTCAGTGCATGCTGAAGGGGATACCCAAGTGGACCATTATGATGATCGCGAGGACATCCCATCCCGGTCTGAACCCGATTCGGTAGTCCAGCTAAGTGAGAGGATGCAGAAACAGACACTCACGTCTAAAAAGGAGAGCACGGAGGAGGAAGTAAAGCAGAACAAGTGCAGCACATGCAATGCGTTGGTAGGGGCCGCAAAGCAGTACAGGGAGCACTTCAAGAGCGACTGGCACTGTGACATTCCGGATTTTGGCCCATTTTTGGGATTTATAAAACGTGTAATTCGTCATTGTGATTATAGTAAAAATCTCGCCCGGGAACTGATCACTCCCGGTTATTATTTTAAAATTGAGATTTCGCTAGAATCGCACTCGATCGAATTTGGCCGTTATTTAGAGCCCAAACTTTGGTGTCGAATTTCTTGGAGTTTCGGGACGAATTTAATTGGACGGTGTCGATATTATTGTGGCCAGTCTCGAGATTACCTGGGATATGTGAAAAGTGAATTTTTGACCGGGTGCGGATTTGGACTAGTAGACCTCCCTCGTAGTGTGTTTTGGGTTATTTTCTTTTGGCCATTTTTCCTAAATTATTAATTAGGATTTTTATGGACCGTTAGATCGTTTTCGAGTTCGAACATGGGCCGTCGGATCGCGATCATTAGGTTTGACTTTGTGGTCCTTTCTCTCTCTCTCTCTCCTCTCCCTCTGCCGCGCACGTTGGCCCCCCATGCACGTGTCCCTTCACGCGCATTTTTCCCCCTCCTGTCAGACCTTCTCTCTCTCCTCTCTCTTCTTCTCTCTCCTTTCCTTCTCTTTCCTTTCTTCTTCTTCTTCTTCCTTCTCCCTTCTCTGGCCCGACTGCTTCTGCTCCTTCTCCCTGCTGCCCGACGCCGACCGCCTGAGCTCGCCTGGCCGTCGCGCGCCGCCGCCGTCGCCAGGCAGCTCGACCACCGCGCCGCACCGTCCGCCAGCCGCCGCCCCCGACCGGCTGGTTTCTTTCTTCGTGCGCGCAGCAGCGAGCTCGCCGCCACTACCAGTCGCGCCCGGCGCTGTCCAACCGCTCCTGGCCGTTGCCGCCGTCGTCCCTACCGCCGCCGGTCGCCTCCCCGACCAGCTGTCCTTTCCCCTCCCCCTGTTCGCAAGAGCCGTGAGCTCGCCCCCGTGACCGCCGCGCGCCCAGTCATCCCCGTCGTCACCGCTCGCCGGCCCGCTCCGCCGTCTAGCTCGCGACCGTGCCCGCAGCTTCCGCCGGTCTTTGCTCGGCCAGTTCGCCGGCCGGCCCGCGTCGCCGTCGCCGCCGCCGCGCTATGCCGCCCATCGCCGCCGGTTCGCTCCTCTCCCCCCCTCAACCCCAATCTCTTTCCCTCTCTCTCTCTCTCCCCCTCGCCCTTCACCCCCCGGCTGACCTTTCCCTCCTTCAGCTCGCCGCGCCGTGTCACTCCGTCACCGCCGCTCGCTACGGCCGCCGCCACCGCCGGTAGCCGCCCCAGCCAGCTAGCCAGCCCCGGCCAGCCAGCCTAGCCGGCCAGCCCGGTCGTGCCGGGCTTGCCCAGGCCGTGGCCGGCCCCGTTGCCACGCGACCAAGCCGCGCGCCCGTCGCCCTTCGTGCCCATCGCCTTGCCGTCGCCCGGGCGCATTGCCCGTTCAGCCGACCCATCGCCCGGGCACGTTGCCCATTCCGCTCGGCCGTGCACCCCGGGCACGCCGTTCGGCCACCGCGCCCGCTCGCCAGGCACGCCGATCGGCCACCGTGCTCGTGTTGGCCGGCCAGCGCGCCCGTTGGCCCGCGCCCACGCCTAGTTCGGCACTGTTCACCCGGGCCATTTTAGGCCCGAGCCGTTTTTCTCCGGGCCAAAACCAAGTAAGTGACTTCCTAAACCCTACCTAGTATTTTGGGTACTTTATTGACTTGTCTCGGGTTTAGAACGGCTAGGGCGTGTTTTAATTTAATTATATTATGTTACAATTGCGCTATTTAAATTGGATTAAATGATATGCTTGACTCGGGTAATGGTGTGTGACATTCCGAAATTTCCACCAATTGGAATTTATTGAATAATTGAGTTTTATGAGATGTGCTCGCGGTAAATTCTCGCCCGGAACTGATTATTCCTGGGAATGCTAACCATTAGGGAAAGGCTATTAGGGGGAATTAAAATCGCAAGGCTAAAGGAAATTCGATCGTGAATGGATTTTGACCATTAAATCGCGTAAGTGATATTTTGAGCCACTGTTGGCCGATCCAAGGATAGTTAGGGGTCAGTTCGCCACTGTCCTAGTAGTGGATCGCGGGTGATTCCATAGGACCACGAAACAACGTGACGAATGATTCCGAAATTATACCGAACGATCGTACCCCTCGGATCAAGTGATTGATCTTCGCGATTTTAATGACAACCGAGGTCGTCACGCACCGAACGGACTTGCACGTGACTCGATTCAGTATCAGTCATGAGTCGATTCTGCGAATTTTCCCAGCAAGCCGCCCGTTAGCTCGAGAAACGCTCGAGTTGCGTTTAATAGAATTTAATTATGGAATTTTGCCCAAATTGGACACCGGAAAATTAGGAAGTCACGACGGAACGTTAGGACGACGTTGCACGTGACACGTGTGAATTTTTGGTGCGCTCAATTCCTTTGGAAAAATTCAATTTCGGAGAGAAACGGAGGAAGGGACCATTTTACCCTTGGGAATTAATAAAGGGTTAGTTGTGTAAGAGAAGGGCATTTTGGTAAATTGCCAAAAGTTGGTCAAAATTGATTTTTAAGCCCTTGACCCCCTTTCTCTCTCTACTCTCTCTTCTTTCTCCCCCTCTTCCCGTGAAATCCCCCGTCCTCCGTGAGTCCCCTCCCCCTCCACCGTCTACTCTCTCTTTCTCCCCCACCGCCGGCACCGCCGCTCACCGCCGCTTGCCACACCGCCGGACCGCCACCTTGCCGTCGCCGTGCCGCCCTCCAACCTCACCGTCTCTCTCTCTTTCCCCTCTCTTTCTCTCTCTTCCCGTGACCCATTTCCGGCCGTGCAAGACCACGCCGCTGCCGGACCGCCGCCGTGCAAGCTGGAAACCACCGTGAGTTGTTCGCCTTCGCCGTAGAGCGCCACCGCTTTCCGTTCTAGCCGTTTTAGCCTAGAACGCGGTAAGTCATACTCTAATCCCGATTTAGGATTTTGGGTATCGCCGAACAATTTGATTTTGGGTGAAATTGGACTTGTGCGGGTGCGAAATGTTGGGGCTTTAGACCGGGAATGTATGGCGGGCCTTAAGGAATTAATTTGGAATTTTTGGAGGACGATTTGAGGGAATTTTAAGCTAAGAATCACTGTTCACGAGCTGTGATTCACTGTTCACGAGGCTGTGAAGCTCGGTTCGGGACGCAAGTTGGATTTTTAGAACCGGTATTTAATGGCGAGGAAGTCCCATGAAGGACCGGAATCAATTTGGCGTCGTTTGGTGGGAGAAAAATAGAAATTTATGTGTTTTACGTGTGTTTTAATTATAATTGAGTTGTGGTGGTAGAATTGTGTGTGCATCTGTGCAATGGGCTGGTGTAAATATGTTTGATTCGTGCACGTTTGGGTTCAATTGAAATGATTGTTCAATTGACCATGTGATATGCTGAGTTAGCCAACGCGGGTAAGTCGCGCCTAAACCTAATTTAGGACTTTGGGTATCGACGGGTAATTCCGGACAAAATCAGTATGAAATTAGGTGCGGAATTACATGGATAGGGAGTGGAAATTTTATGGCGGGCCTTAGGAATTAATTCGGGTAATATTTATTGGAAATTCAGAAAATGGGGACTGCAAAATACTGTTCATATGCTGCGAAACACTGTTCACTGGCTGTGGATTACTGTTCACGGGGTTGTGATGGTCCGATTGGGATGCAAGTTGAATTTTTGGAACCTAGAAATTATGGCGAGAAAGTCCCGTGAAGGATCGGAATTAATCCGACGCCATTTGGTCGGAGAAAATTGGCAATTTACGTGCTCTGGGCATGTTTGAATTATTCTGGATGGGGTTGATTTAATTGAGTATTTGTTTGTGTGTTATATGAGGTAACTCGAGGATGAAATGAGGATGTTTCGAGGTTGGAGTGAGACTGATTAGAGTGTCAGATGTTGTGGGATGGAATTGGCAAACTTAGGGCTCGATTTAAGGCCAGGTAGTGTCGGTTTGGTGTGTGGTAGTATGGTTAGATTGTGATGTTTAATAGGCATGGAAATGTCGAAATTAATTTTATGAACGTGGCTGTGATTGTGAGCCCATGAGCGGCCTTGTGTGTTTATTGAACCGTGGTTTGATGGATTGAAATGTGCTTGATTATGTGCACGCGTGGGTCAGATTGAATTAATTGTTGAAATTGGCCATGTCGAATGCTGAGTGAGCATGTTTTACGTGTTAATTGATGCGTGCGCGGGCCGCGTGTGATGGGCCAGTTGGTTGTGGTAAATGCTTGATGAGCATGTGCATGGGTAAGAAAGAAAAGTGGTGTGGCTTGTGATTGTGGAAGTTATGTGAAGGTGTGTAAGTGCGAGAATGGGATCGGGCCGAGTATCATAAGCTCGGGCAACGATCATGTAGGTCTGTTGCATTTGGCACGGGCTGAGGCTCGAAAGAGCATGATTGAGTTCGGTCCGAGGCACGATCAGCTCGGGTGAGACCGGGATTGGACCGAGGCATCCTAAGCTCGGGTTCCAATCACGTAGGCCTGTCGCATTTGGCGCGGGCTGAGTTGGGATCGGGCCTGGGGCGTGTGATGCTCAGGTCGCGATTGGGGCCTGAGGCGTGAACGGGTACGCAGGCCGAATGTGGTGAATGATCGCAGTGTACCTGAGGCGTGTACGTTTACGCGGGTCACTGGCGAGTGATGTGGGAAGTGATGAGTGGTCGCAGTGTACCTGAGGCGTGTACGTTTACGCGGGTCACTGGCGAGTGATGTGGGAAAGAGGAATTGAGAACGGAAAGAATGTGTGCGAAATGAGAATTGTACATGCGTGTGTTTGCATCTGATGTAATTGTGATCGAGTGCGGGTGTGCGCATGATTAAGCCTGACCATATTAATTGATGTACCTGTGTTGTGATGATTTGATGTGCGTGAATGTGTGTGTTTGTGCTATTGTCTGGAGGTACGTGATAGCCTAGGTTGGGTTTAGGGGTGTACTTACTGAGAAGTGTCTCACGGTTGTTTTCAACCAAATATTTCAGAACCCAAACCTGAGCCGTGAAT